GGGAGCGGCCGCCTGCGGTTCCGGCGCGCCTGGAATTTGGCCGCGGTGGCCCCGCGCCCCCAGCCCCGTCGGGCTGTCCCTGGGGTGGGCGCAAGTGGGAGCAGCCTGGGCTCGGGTTCTGACCGTCTGTTCCCCGCCTCGCCCTTCCAAGTTCTGGGAAGTGATCAGCGATGAACACGGCATCGACCCAGCCGGAGGCTATGTGGGTGACTCGGCGCTGCAACTCGAGAGAATCAACGTCTACTACAATGAGTCATCTTGTGAGTAGCCCGGCCCGACCGGGTCCCCGCCCGACCCGCGACCATTCCCTCCCGGCCCGCAGCCCTTCGGCCATGCCCTTCCGGAACCCTGGGATCCCTCGCCTTTCCCCGCCCGACCTGGCCGGGGCTCTCCAGGCGTTGCCTCTGGCCCGGCGAGTTTGCACTGGGCTGCCCGGCCACTCCCTCGCTCCCCGGGGGGCGGGAAATCCGCCGCCGGTTTTTTCAAACTGCAGATTCGGCCTATCCCGAGGGTCTGAGCTCTGCAACCAGACCAGCCCAGTTAGTGTTGTGAAATCAACTTAGTAGGTTCTGTCCAGCGTTTTCTTTCTAAAGAATAGAACAAAACAACTGATTAGAAACAATTTAGAATGTTTTTTAATGCTCCTTGATAAAAACGAAAAAATTTTACAGGTATTTGTGAATTTGTGGCTAAATTTTTGAAAAATGTTCTCTTACATGGCTTTTCTGGCCCTTTGGAGCTTCCAAAAAGACTTTATACTCTCCGGAAGTTGAAACGACAGTTAATTCTGGATAACTAGTGGGAGAGTTCAGTAAAAATTCCAGGTTGGGCTTATCCAAGTTTTTTAATAATCTGCCTCCTGTCCTGGACTAGCATGTATATAACTATATGAATACGTTATTTCTATAACAATTTTCGTTATAAAAGTGGCACAAGACTAAACACAAGACATTAAAAGAACACTCGGAAAATGACAGTTGCTGCCCTTGCACACATGCACAGACATATCCCTAAAGACATTCCCTCTTACCTGTTGGAGTCACCAGACTTCGTATGGTTACTTGCGCCTTGTCTCTACCCGAGCTGGGGAGTGATGGATTTATGAATCACTGATGATGACAAAAGGTCTGCAACACCAGAGATTTCTAGACGGTACTAAAGCAAATTCCAGGATACACTGCACTTCCTGCTAACCCTCAGGCCCAGCTTGGTTGCTTCCTCCTTTCAGAATGGCATGTGCACAGCAGGCCAGGAGCTGAATAGCAGTTCCTATCTGGAATCGTATTAACTTCATCCTCACTTCTTGTCCAGCTGGCGTGAAAGTGCTTACGAATGAAAATGCTAGCCGAGATCAGTCCTGTTCAGACAAGAGTTTCTCTGGGGAGTAGCACTAGTGGAGTGGTACCTGTGAGGAGGGGCTTGGACTGCAGCTTGAGTACTTGTGTGTGTGAGCATGGCAGAGGGGTCAAAAAGGCAGAGACTGTCATGGCAACGTGACCCTTTGTTGTAACAAATACAGCTCATTTCCAATGAAGCTAGAAAAGTAAAACTTCCCAGCAGGAAAGAGACCAGGGTGAACTGGAAAATACAGTAGGCAGGACATCAGGAGACCCGGGTTCTGTTTCTAAGGCCCCCTTTTCCTGGAAACACCTCTTCTCTCTGTTCACCCCTACTGGCTCCTCACCGCCAGTGGTAAGGTTCTGTGAATCCAAGGACGACCTGGTACCCTGTTTGAAATACCTTGGTTCTAACTAGGGGGCCTTGCTGGGGGGATGACGATTACTCTCGAAACTTGAAAGTAATTCTTGTGGGTGGGTGTTTTTCCCCTGCAGCTCAGAAATATGTGCCAAGGGCCGCCCTAGTGGACTTAGAGCCTGGCACCATGGACAGTGTGCGGTCTGGGCCTTTTGGGCAGCTTTTCCGACCTGACAACTTCATCTTTGGTAAGTTGCATATTTCCTACTTTCTTCTTCCTCTTCATTTTTTAAGCTAAGTTAGGGTCTGTGCAAGATAAAAATATCACATGGCTGGGGGTCGGTGGGTGGCATGGTAGTTAAGACACTGGATCCCCATATGGCCAAATGTGCAGTTCAAGTCTTGGACCCAGTGGCTTGAAAATCACAATTAATAGACCATAAGTAATTTTTTAAAAAGTCACATGACATAGAAAAGTTTGAAATGGAAATTAACAGTCCCCAAGCCCAACGCCCCCCCCCCCCCCACCCCAAGCTAGACTACTTCCCCCCCCCCCAAGCTAGACTACTTGCAGGGAGTAGCTTTTCTTTTCTTTTTTGGAAAACGTTTTGCTATAGGATACATGTGCTTACCTGAGACAGACAGTGAGAGGTAAAGTGTGAAATCACCACCCGGGGGGATAGCCACACTATAGTCCTGGGGTTTTAGGCATACATGCACACATGACAGCGTGATTTTCAAGCTGCTAGGTGGGTCTGAGACTTGAACTGTGGTCAGCCATGTAGGAGTTCAGTACCGAAACCATAATGCTATCTGCTGGCCCAGAAATACCTTTTCAATCCTGTCTTTTTTCTTTAGAGAAGTAGCCTCTACTCTAAAAGAAATTCTTATACTGATAAATTATTTTTTTGGAGGGGGAGAAGTTTTTACTATAGGGCACATGCGCTTGCCAGACAGACAGAGACAGAGAGACAGAAAGCGAGAAATCACCCCCTAGGGGAGAGGGCCACACCACAATCCCTTTTCTTCCATTCTCCTCTTGGGATCTTGGGCACGCACAAACGTGCCTGGCGTGAGTTTTAAGCCACCAGGTCCAGGACTCGAACCGCAGTCGACTACATGGGAGTCCAGCAACATAGCCATTACGCTAACTGCTGGTCCCACTAATAATTCTTGATTAAAAATAAAAACTGGGACCAGCAGTTAGCGTAATGTCTATGTCACTGGACTCTCACGTAGTCGACCGCGGTTCGCGTCCCAGACCCAGTGGCTTAAAACTCACATCAGGTCCGTGTGCGTGCATGCCCAAGATCCTGAGAGGAGAATGGAGAAGAGGGAATTGCGGCGTGACCATCCCCCCTGGGGGATGACTTCT